ATCTATCTATCTATCTATCTATCTATCTATCTATCTATCTATCTATCTATCTATCTATCTGCTGCCCATCTCTTAGTGAATTACTCTAGCCAGTCTCCAGCATTGTCTATTCAGTTGTACACAAAATGAGCTTCTATCATGGAGTTTATTATAAACAAATCATCCCCCAATTATTCAGCTCATTGACCCCTTCATCGAGTTTCAGATGATTCGTCAACCCCCAATATACAGTATATTGTGTAAAAAGTAATTTAATAAATGCTACTTTAACAAATAGCACTATGAACAATAACAACAATAATAGAAACAGCTCAAGGCCTTGCTGAGGGTTGATCATCCAAACCTGGGGAATACTGTCTCACTGCTGGCCACCTCAACTTCAGGACGAGGGATTAATATGGATCTCAACACCAACCAGATTAATTGACCCCCAACTGATCTTCCATCATTCCCTCATTTATCAGCTTCCTACTGACCACTATACATTTACTGATCCCCTTTTGACCCTTAGCCACTTATCGATCCTTTGGATAATCCTATCAACCCTTGGGGGGTCAATATTGACCACTTTTGGCAACCTTGTTATAAAATGAAAGCATGCCTAGAAAATTATTTTCTTTTCTTTCACAGAAGAGCTCATGTAGCAAACTGTCTCCCCATTAGATACCCCTGAGTTTCACTTCATCTTCAGCCATCTCAAGACATATGTACCTTCACTGATATAACCTGGATCACATACGAAGTCAGATTAACTACTCCTTGTAGAAGACATATTATCTTTTAGATGCAATGACAGATTTGCGGGAGGGGGAAATCAGGGCATCTCCCACGCCTTTCCAGCTGATTTTTTTTCTGCTTTTTTTTTCCTATTTTTTTTCTGTTTCAGGAAAAAAAATGATATTATAGATTTTTAAAAATGCTAAAATAGAAATATTGACTTAGATTACTGTTAATTTGACTGTGGGTGTTTGGATGTAATTTATTGTCTCATTCCTTTTGTGCCTTATACAAATAAGCACCCTTTTCTTTCAGAGTTGCTTCTATATTGATACTATATTGTAGAATCATGTAATTTACACAGAGCCTTGAATTAGCTTGTCTCAGAGGTTCTTTTCAGATGCTGTCTGTCATTAAAATAGCACTATTTTCATCTCCTTAGCCACTGAATGTTTCATCCACTGGATGCTTTAAAGCTAAAAGGGACTTTATGTACTCCCCCCTCCCTTTTAATAATATGTTTATTCTCTCTGTGTTTTGTGAATTTGGTCTATCTTCCACAAAAAAGCAAAGAAAGGGGGGCTGAATTTCACTAGTTAGGTTTTTCCATACTATTCAGCAGGAATTATGGCAGCCTAGTCTTACTCATGTCCCAGACCTAGAGAGAGAGTATATGTGAGGTGTTTCCTGATACTTAGATGGAGACAGCAAGAACCACCAAGTGCAGCATCCAGGCAGGAAATGGAGCTAGAGTATGTAGACCCAAAGGACCTCTGGGAACAGTTCTTCCACTCTGCTACTACAGTAGGTTAAAAAAATGGACATTAAGAACCAACCTCATGTTTCAAGTAATTATTTCCTCTCCTTATTCTTTCAAGATTTTTTTGTGGGGGCATGATTGTTTTGTGCCTGATACAGAAGAAGGAGTCTAACTGAGCCAGGTAGATGGAGGAAAAATATTTTCTTCTTTTTCACAGTTTTTTCAACAGAGATATAAAGTAACAAAAACATAACACAAAGGTTATTCTTATTCTGAGTTTCCAGGGTTTGACAGGAGAGCTAGATTAGTGTTAAGGAACAGAAACCTCTCGTATACTATGGAGAAGTGAGTTGACATCATTGCCCAGCTAGTCAAAGACATCTTGAAGTTCCAGATTCCAAGAGTCTCATGCCCGAAGAGAGTGCAGGTGGCTCAGCTGCACAACTGGACACAATGAACTCAGCACTGTGATGGGACCTATTGACCCACTTGAGTTAAATTAAGAAATTGTAATTAAGAAAAATGGCATTCCAGAGGGAGGAACATTAAACAATAAACATTGGAAATGGAGCAAGTGGAAAGATTAAAGACAGCAGTGTTGGAATAAGAGATTCCTCAATTAAAAATGAGAGGCTAAAGAATGGATTATTATTACTGCAACACATCCACACGTCCAGAAGTTCCTGTAGAAAATCCAGAATACAGGCAAAGAGAGGGTCCTACCCACTAAACTGGACATTGGAGAAAAGGCTTGCCAGCATGGAGGAAAGTCAGTGTATGTATGTGTTAAGTTAACTGAACCCTTTGTTAAGGCCTATGAAATGACTTGAGATAAATGGACAACTATGCACTGTTTTTTTAAAAAAATGGTGAAATCCCTGCAAGAATTGAAGCCTGAAAGTCCTAGAAGAAATTTCAAGGCTCTATGGTAAAAGATGTCTGATTTATTTAAGGCCTTCACTCAAAGAGTGGATATGACATATACCTGATGTAAACAGACAGCAGCCAATACAATTAGGAAAATTAAAACCATGATGAAACTGAAACAGTTCATGGCTAACTACTCAACGTATTTAAGATCAAGCATTTCTAATGGTACTAAGAAACTTGAAAGACACTAAGACCAATAGTAGTATACCAAAGCAACCATTCCAAGATATTCACAAGACTTAAGAAGAATTCTGGTTAAAGTCAGTCTAAGATTTATACCATGTCAAGCACTAAAAATACTACAGTACATTATACTACATCATCCAATATACCACTATGAGCAAGGTTCCTGACAGACCCAGCATGCACATGTTTCAGGTGTAGAGAAGTGGGACGTGCCAAGAAAAACTCAAGTTTAAACCAGATTGAGTCAAAAAGTTTAAGGCAAGAATAATCTTAGTAATAGCAATAGCACTTAGACTTATATGCCACTTCACAGTGCTTTTTACAGCCCTCTCTAAGCAGTTTACAGAGTCAGCATATTGCTCCCAACAACCTGGGTCCTCATTTTACCAACCGTGGAAGGGTGGAAGGCTGAATCAACCTTGAATGTGCTGAGATTCGAACTGCCAAATTGCAGTCAGTCGGCAGTCAGCAGAAGTACCCTGCAGTACTGCACTCTAACCACTACGTCACCGCGACTCAACTTCCAGTACATTGTTTTCTAAATGCACTGAGAATACTATTCCACCCATGAGGTGCCAATTTAGTACTATATGGAGATCCAATAATCATCTGGAAAGATACTAGAGCCAGGATTTTCCCAGGCACCACAAATGCAAATAAACTATTCTTGGGAAGCCAACCTTCAGTGGAAGTGGTTGGAGAATAAAGTGGGACTTTGTAAGGATGAAGGATCATCCCTATGTTGTGCCATTCTGGGATAATTTACTGTGATGGGTCTAATATGGTAGACCCTTCCACTAAGAGAAAACTTGTATATTCTAAACATTCTTGTGAATATTTCCAGCAGTATTTCTAAAGACTTAGTAATTTTCTGATTCTTTCCAAGGTAGCATGCATTGCATACATCTATGGCTGAAAAAAGATTGCATTGATTTGTGCTGTGGTTAATAATGAAATGGAATGTATGGCACTTTTGTGTGTGTGTGTGTGTGCATAAATTCATTTTAGTGATTGCTTTGGAGTAACTAGCTATCACTACATGGCACAGATTCCTTCACATAATATTTCCTTAAGTACATATCCAGCAAAATGAATGTGAGATGCATATCTGCAGTATCCAGTACACTGTTCTTAGACAATTATTGGGAGAGAACTGGCAATAACTGGGCTGGATATTTAAAGTGGCAAACTTTACTTCTTCATAAACTAAAATAATCCCAGGTAACAGTGGTGGATTAAGGCTCACCGGTGCGCTAAGCACTGACAAATCTTTGTGCCCCTCTCCTTTGTACATACTGTACAAACAAAGTCATATTCTCAACTTTGTGGTGCCCCCTGTGGGCCTGGTGCCCTAAGCATGTGCTTAGTCTGCTTAATGATTAATACACCACAGCCAGGTAAGCTTTGGCCTCCATTCAGATTGAATATCTGCCTTGTATCAAAGTATCTAATTTACCCAAGAGGCATTGATTCAGGAATAAATAAGAGGCATAGTAATTTTGATCTAGCTATATGGAATCTGGAAAAATAGTGTTTTGCTTGCCTCCAGGTACCTTCATCCCCCGCTGCAATGAAGAAGGCTATTACAAAGCAACTCAGTGCCATGGAAGTACTGGCCAGTGCTGGTGTGTGGATAAGTATGGAAATGAGATTGCTGGCTCTAGGAAGCAAGGGATAGTAAGCTGTGGTGAGTAACAACAGACTTCCTGCAAGAAAATATGAATTAACTCTGTAATGCTGGCTAGGAAAGCACAGCATGACATAGAAGAAATGTATTAAGACAACCATCTTCATGTTTTTGTATTTATTAAACAGATGTGCTCATACAAAAAAAACATCTCTTTCTAAGCATGAAAGACAATGTATGATTGGTAACAGTATCCAGTCTGCTTTTCCTGTCAGCTTAACAAACAACAGTGGTTTATATTTATGTAAAATATTCTGGTGGAAAGATGATTGGGGATATATATAGAATGTTTTGTTTGAGATTTAAAATAATATGAGGTACTCCATATGCAAAGGAATGGGAGACCCACATACAAATAAGGAATTTATCAGAGTTGCTTTAGGATTAGGCAATGCTTCAGAAATCATTCAGAAAAGATGTTTTGAAGGAACCACATCTTTTCCTGGGGTACCCCTATTCAAAGCACATTTTTGGAATTGCAACTGAAGCATTGCACAAGCATCGTTGTCACAGAAGTTTAATAGCAAAGGTTGCTGCTAATACTGCAACCACGCATATTCTTAGCTGCATGTTGCAAATGTGACATCTCAAACCAGCGAATCCCAATAAAGGCTCACTGGACCTTAAGCAGAATCCAGAATCCATTGCCCACCATTGGTGGCCATGTCCTCTCCACTCCTTTGCCTCAATCATTGTCTGTCAAATGGGATGCAAACACCACCAAAAAAGAATTCTTATTGCCAAGTGCCAGGACAGTGATCAGGTGCCCAGGAAATTGGTTCTTTTCCATACAGAGGCAATAAGCACACCAGGTATGAAAGGATTTCAAGCTATATTATTAACTCAAGCAGACAAATTTAAGAGCGTAATATAAAAAGTATACCTATCAAGCAACAGAATACCTAAATCTCTTATAAACTGCTAGGGCTCCTTAATCACTATAGCAGAGATACTCAAAGGGCAGCCAGATTCCACATTACCCAGTGTTAGGTTCTGCACAGAAACTCCCAACAAGCAACAATAGCACTTAGACTTATATACCACTTTACAGTGCTTAACAGCCTTCTCTAAGCAGTTTACAGAGTCAGCATATTGCTCCCACAATTTGGGTCCTATATTTTACCCACCTCGGAAGGATGGAAGGCTGAATCAACCTTGAACCTGGTGAGATTTGAGCTGCCAAATTGCAGACAGCCAGCAATCAGCAGAATTAGCCTGCAGTACTGCACTCTAATCACTGCAGCACCATGGCTCAATAACCAAATGTTTTTTAATCGAAACCTGGCATCATGTCTTCATAGCTCTGCTGCGGTGATGAGACTGCAGGACCTGATCTTGGCTGGCTGGCACATGACTCTCAAATAGAAACAGAAGATTCTCTTGCTTTCTCCTTTTTTCAGCAAGCAAGATTTAAAAACCAGCAGTTAAGTGCTCAATGAGCTTTAAACTTCTGGACTTTTCTTAAGATGGAGGAAAAAATCATAATACCTTACTAAACTCTCAAAATAATAATGATCTTCTACATTGCCACTACAAACTCCTCTAGGAGCGCCACCTGGAGGACAGATAGAAGGCCGGCCAAGTGCAGTTTCTACAACCCCATCCTCAACTGAGGAAAATTAAAAAGGCACATTTTGGCTTTTGAGAAATGCAGTCCTGAAACTTTTTTAAAGCAATATTTATTCAGAGGCATCAATGCCTATAAATGGAAAGTCTGAATCTGGAATTTCTTCTTTAAAATCAAAGCATGAGCAATCATAGAGTTGGAGTTTATTTATTTGTAAGGTGACTAAATATAAGGAAATTGTTGGCGTTTAGACTTCAAGGATCCTTTCCCATTTTTTTCTAGCTGCAAAGACATTCTTTGCATCCTGTACATTTGCAATGGAAACATTCTGTGTCGCAGAGACTTCTGGGTTTTTTTTTATTAAGGCACACTTTCAATTAAAAAAAGTGCAACCAGCCAGGAATAGTAGACAGGCTGACTGTCAGGAAGGTTTGTCTGCTATTATTGATCTTTGCAGGAAACATCTACTCAGCTCTCAAGGCACATACACTTTGAAAGCCAAATAAGCAATAAACAAACCACATAATTATTTTAATGCAGAACCACACTACATTTCTTACTTTTAACCTTCTTATTGGACTTGGTAGATAGGCTCACAAATGGAATATTTCTTGTTCCATTTCCATTACATTATTTCTTGAGATGTCAAATCATGACCGACAGTAGTGTTTAATGATGCTTGTGGGGAGGTGTTTTGAGGCTTGCAATTTATTGAGACCACCAACTCATTTCAGATACCTTTGAATACTTATGAGCTGGTGGTGTCTTTCAGTCACCATTGACCTGGAATGGATTTGAACCAACTATTTAGAAATGTAAGGTTCTGTTTTCAGCTTCTGAAAACGCATGGTTTAGGGAGGTTCTGCCAGGACTGTATGCACTTTTGAGTTCCCATTGTGATATGGTCCATTGGGCGGGGGGGGGGGGGGAAATGTCTAAAAATAAAACTGACAGGAAGAATGAGTATAACTTAATGAATGAAACGATTGACGTGCCAAGGCAGAAAACTGGGCTTAAATCATAGCTGTGAATTCTTCTCCTTTTGCAGAAGAAGAGCAAGAAACCTCGGGGGATTTTGGTAGCGGTGGATCAGTGTTATTGTTGGATGACCTGGAAGAAGCACACGAAGCAGCAAAAAAGGACAAACAGAAGATACATGTAAGAGCAACTAATGAGGACGATGAAGATGAAGATGATGAAAAGGATGATGAAATTGGGTATATATGGTAGTTCCCATACCTCTGAGGACTCATGTTTTGCACAATGTCACCAATCATTTTGTATCTCCGCAGAGATAATGGAAACATCAGGCATCACATGCGAAGTTCAGTCAATAACTGTATGGGCCTCCCAGTATGCACACTGATCTCCTTCCCAATTGGGCTTTCCTTTCACTTTACTGGTAGCCTCACCTCCACAGGAACAATGGAGATCAGCATGCATAGCTGAATCTGTCACTAAAGTGAACTGGGAAGACCTTTTGTATGTGGTGCACCTTGTACACTGGGGATAACTTTATACACACCTGTGCATTTGGGCTCCTGTGGCCATCATACTGCCAGTAAGGACAACTCTCTCGCCCCTTGATTTAATTTTATATACTCTGTATTAATTTGGAAAAAGGCTTTCACTCTCAAATTCTTCTGCTCTTCAGCATAACCGTATGCATTATTCTCATTTGTTTTTCACTTTTCTCATAATCCATGCACCCAGCATATCATTTTGAATGAAACAGAGACCACGGAAGAGGGGAAGGGGAGATAGTCCATAGTAAACTTCTTTCACACTACAGCTTCTGAGGTTTTCATATGGTGCATCCTTTTGCATTGTTCAATTTGCTGTCAGCTACCCACACTGCTTTCTTTTCAGCAGCTAAAGCAGGCGATCTTTTTGTCTTGCTGTGCAGAACCTGCTCGAAAAGATCAAATTGCTTTCCCATTCTGGCTTGGCTAAATTATTTCATTTTATCTCCTTCTTACTTTGCCTGATGTTGTTTAGCAAAAGGAGAGCCGAATGCCAGTAGTAGCCAGTTAATAGTTAATAGTAGTCAGTTCTCCCCACTGACTATGGGTATAGAGGACAAGATCTCAGTTGACCTTTTATCCCATTAATCAATTTCAGTTCAGTTTAAGTTAATGAAAGTGATGTTGACTTTAAAAATAAACTGTTGATTTGCATGCTTACACACGATGCTCACCTTTCGACTTCTATCAAGAGGAACCTCCTTTTCAACACAGACGAGGAAGTCATACTCCACAGAGGCATTTCTTTGTTTCTTGTTCATCTTTTTGCAGGCTTGCAAGTCTCGAATTTGTTTTAATTGAGTTTGCGCTAATGCTATGCAAGCTTCTCCCTGCTTCCGGAATTGGACTGCTAAAAATGCTGCTTCTTTTTTTCATTTACTCTAATGATTCCTCATAGGGAAGCACTGAAACTGTCAGAGGCACTAACCATCAAAAGTAATAAGCTGTCTTTCCTTTATTTAAAATTGTTAGTATTTATTTGCTCCAGTTTAGAAGAAAAAATATCCTTAGGCAGTTGTTTCTATGGTTAATATCACTCCTAGTTAACATCACAAGAGAAACTTATACACATGAACCAGAAGAGTATGGAATAGAATTATTCCATAAATGGTCCTGAATTATTCTATCTCCATAGCAGCATCTTATGCTCAATTGCCATTAATTGTGGGAAAATAAATGTGCTACTGCAGACATTATAACAAGTGCCCATTTTTTCTAATTAAATACAATAAAATCAACTGCTACATAAGTCTTTTAAATTCTGCAAAAAGCTAAGGGCCATTTAGTACAATACAAAAATATTTGTATTCTAATACAAATTAAAAAAGAAAGAAAGGGGTATATTAAAGATGCTAATTCTTTGGTATGAATTTCTATTATTCTTTCTTAATAATTACAAATGGCATCTACCCACAGATCATTGCTGATTCTATTACAGCTTGTCTTATTTATGCCTTTTGTTTCTGGCACAATGTAGTTCAAGTTGCTTTTAAACAAAAGTTATACAAGAAGACCTGAAAATGAATCCATCAAAATAATGCCAAATATGAGAGCTTAATACTGCATTTTCACTTTGTTCAACTCCTCCTAAAAAAGAGCAATCCAAATTAATTGGCCAGAAGAAAAGGTGCTTCCCAGGGAGAACCTTTTCTGAATTTTTCTCCCACAAAGATTTCTATTATTTTAATGCACAGTTTAGGCTTTGATATTTGATTCCTAAGGATATTTCATATTTGACTCCTAAGTAATCAAATTTCTATCTATCATCTACTGCGGAGCCCCAATAAAGAAATTCATATAGTAGCTTTAATTTTTTTTAAGCAATGCTTTATCTATAGCAAGCCAAACTGTGATGTGTGTGTAGCATTTACTATGACATACAATGAAGCCATTGGGTTCTGCCCTAATTGCCATTTGGCCTCTACTTATAGCCAATAATGTCCATTGGAGGTTTGTACGGATCTCCCTAACAAAGGAATATAAACTGTTACCTGATTTTCTTACCTAGCCCTAACCCTCTTTAAAAAAAAAAAAGCCATGAAACTAATTTTGTTTAGAGAGCTGCAACAGAAACTAGTAGCAGTTGATGCTTAGAAGTTGTACTGTTGGCTATATCAGCAACGGGTCCTGGGTTAAACCTTGGAGCATTGCAAAGCTGTTACATGTTGATATCACCTTCTCACCCCAAGAGTTGTAACATAACACACTTGTAAGATACTTCAGAAAATCATGAGATGTTTTTCCCAGACTCGTGCGTAAAGTTCTATAAAATTAATGAAGTTTACTCCCGAAGACAAGTGATGTTAAGTGCAATGTACAATACATATTGCACTGACCACAGTCTTTAAATTTGGCTGCAGAGCTATTAAAGAAAAGTCAAAAACCAACTGGAAGCTGTAGTATAATGCCCACTTTTCATTCTACTGATTAAAGGTGAAGTTTCTGTTTAATAAAGCTCCTAGAAATCACCTTTCAGTTGCAATGAAATGCTGTCTGTCGCACAATGGAAAGTAATTTACATTTAGCTTCATTTTCAACACAAACAGTAACATGGGAGAAGCTTTTTGAGGGGGTTTGCATATGTGTATGTGCATGTTTGTTTGGTGTCCCCTTATTGCTGAATATTAAATCAGTGATTTCTCCTACTTGACTAGCATCCACCTCTGCAACTCACAGGAAATTCTATATGAATCTGATAATAAAGTTCCCACTGATTTAAAATGGATGTAGTAGACATGATTACTTCCATAAATAAAACAGCCTTGATCCGAAACTTGGGGGGAGGAATCCAAACTGGGAGAATTGTTGGGTTTAAATGTAATATTAACGGTACATTTCATCTGATTGTAGACTTGTACAAACACATAGTTTGTTTATCTTCTTGTTTCTTCAAAATCTGTAATCCATCTGTTGATCCCACAGTCTTATGGTAATACAGTTTTCATTTGTATGTGGTACCTCTGTGCATTCAAAGTTGCCAACACATGGTGATGTACAATTTGTTGAAGAGGTGTTTGAAATGTTTTCCCTGAAATATAATATCCTACAGTAAACCATGGCAAAAGATATCAACATTATAAAGGAGAAAGTCATTTCATATATGCTGAGTAGAAATGAAGTGTAACTGATAACCTCCTTAGTTTTAAGAAACATATAAAATAAACTCTTAAGGATTTGCCCTGGTCTTTCTTCATTTTGTCTGTACCTGCAAACATTGTTCTGTTTGTGATTTCCTTTCATCTGATTTTTTGTTTCTCTAGAGCAGGGGTGTCCAACCTTGGCAACTTTTAAGACTAGTGGACTTCAAGACTCATGGAATGGCTGGCTGAAGAATTCTGGGAGTTGAAGTTCATGAATCTTAAAGTTGCAAAACCCCTGGTTAGAGAAAACATTTTAAGCTTGGAAAAGGGGCAAGGTTTGAAGCATGTGCTATAAACCACCATGGATTTATGTAATTTTAGGTAGGAAACTTGCAGGAACAACTATAATTATATCAATTGAATAGCAGCCTGTAAAAGAAAGGCCAAGCCTTGGTAGCCCCATGAGAGCAGAGCCAAAGAAACAGAATAGAACTGTGCCTTTGGAGGAACTGAAAACTGGCAGCTTAATTTCCCAGTCATTGTCATGAGGAATACTTTGCTTCATTAGAAAATAGTAAACATAAGCTTTGGGGAAAGGGACAAAAGGGCAAAACTACACAGGATAATCTAAGCGAGCCTTATAAACTATTATTCCTCTGAAAAACTGTGCAAAAGTAGAACAAGTCCAAACACAAAGCCATGGCAGCATCTCTGAGTTTCCTATCAAGTCAGAGAATGCAGCAATTCATTTCTCGTTAAACTGCTGAGGGAAAAATAATAATAATAATGTAACTACTATTTTGTCTTACCAAGCCAATAATAGACCTCCTGTCCTAGCTTCTCTAAAAACAAAAACAAAAATACTTTATAGCTTTTCATGGATTGAACTGCTACCAGACTAAAAATAACAATGGTGTTTGGCTATGCATATAACCAGAACACAAATTGAGTTATTTTGTACTACATTATATTCAATTTTGATACAGTGATATGAACTAGCAGCTGGTTCAAAGAGATTATAATCAACAGCAATCTATGTCGAAGACCAAGCCATATTGTGGACTTGTCTCTGAACATGCAGCTTCCATTCCATTGTTTTATTAATCATCTTTTTAGAAGATCTATATACTTCCTTTTAATTTTCTCATTGTTTCTCATCCATGCTAAACCTATTGTTGACACTATCAGTTTTTCCTGTAATTAGCTATTGGAGTTTCCACTACTATCTCATATATCTCTTCCCACCCACCCCATCTACCCAATTACAAGTTGATGCCCAAGTACTATCACGTTACCAGGAAGATCCTCATCTGCAAAAATTCTACCTCTTCCATGTTGCTACCTATCAGGATTTCTGCATCAGGACCCCTATTTGTGTTTGGCCAAATAATTCATATATGTTCTGCCTTCTATCTAGGAAATTCTAACCTCAGCAAATAACCATTTCCTCCAGTGTGTATGTGCATAGGGGGACAGTACTGAAAATCAACTAACTTTAGACCTATTTGAAGAGTCACAGTCTTCTATCCTAACCTTTAATAACCTCAATGGTCCTGAACTTGGTTGCAACCGAAGATAGGCAAAGCGTACCTAATAATAGGTAATGTGAGCTTGGGAGGGAGCAACT